AGGGAGGCAGTGAAGGACAGGAAGGCCTGGCGCAATAGGGTTCATGGGGTCACGAAGAGTCAGACACGACTTAACGACTAAACAACAAATGCCATTTGGCCTTTAGAGGTAATAACCAGCACCAGAATTGCTCCCAGAAGCTTATTGGTAACCAGTGCAGAAGTGTTATATGGGTGTAACAAGGCCTGCCCATTATGGCGCACACTGTTATTTTCCGGACCAACTGCAGCTTCTAAGTGGTGTTCAAGGGCAGCCCTGTGTAGAGTGCATTGCAATAGTCTACACACAAGATAACCAAGGCATGAATGATGTAAGGAGGGCCTCCCAGTCCAGGAATGGGCACAACTGGTAAACAAGATAGGTCTGGGCAAAGGCCTTCCTGGCCACAGCTGCCACCAACTCCTCAAGCAGATGCTGAGGGTTCCTTTCTCCCTCCTGTTTTCTTCCCAGCTGTTCAAAGCCTCTTATCTCCCTACTCCTTGCCACTTGTCTGCTTTTGTCTTTTCTTTCCTTCTTGCACTTATTTTGTGCACCTTTGCACCTCTCACCCTTATTTTGATCACTTCCAAACCCACCCACCCACCTTTTCCTGGCACTGAGAAACTTCCCACATCCAGCCACATCCTCTCCCTCAACAACTTGGCAGCCCAAAACCCTCTATGAAGAATTATATGTCTGCATGACACACTGCAGTTTTTTTTGTTTGGGGCTTTAGCCATGTCCCCAAATTGCTTAAATTATGAACTAAGTTAGTATAAAAACATTACAAATATGCTATATGCCCTCCTTTGCCCCCTTCCACTTTCACAGAGCTTCAGCTAAGATTAACTGTGTTTAGCATATTGCAACTTCGGAAATACTCAAATCTTCAGCAATATTTTCACACTCTGAGACAACTGTATGGCTCCTTACATGCATGAACATTCAAGACATGATCCATAGCCAGGATTTTTATCATTTCCCTACGTGTTCTGTCTTGTGTTGGATGTACTGAACCATAACATAGGTTAATTCTCAGGAGTAGCACGCATATTAAGAGTTCTGATTCTGTCACATTCCGCCTCAGAGCAACCTGGCCCATCCAGGTCATTACTGCCTACCTTAATATGCAAAGATTCTCAGGTCAACTTCACATATATTTTTTAATCATAAGATTTCAGTGCAGGGATGGGCAATCTTTGCAAGAAGGGGCCACACTTTCTATTTAAAAACAAGCAAGCAAACAAAAAAGCCTCCAAGGGCATGGTCAGAGAAGTAGTCATCACAGAAGACTGTCATGTGTTTTGGAGGGAGAAGGAATTAAGATATAACTGTGCAAAGCCAATCCACCTCCCCCTTGCTTTTTTTTTTTTTTTATTAACACTACAAATCTGAGGGTGTTCTGGAGGCTGTTTGCATCCTGGGGAGGCCACCTACCCTTATGTTTGGGAATAATATCCAGGCACTTCTCCATATAAAACACTGGACCTCACCATCCCCAAGGCATAGAAATCTCCCTTGTATCTGATTGACAGCAGCTCTCCAAGATCTCCAGAAGAAAAGGATTTTCCTCACTACTAGCTACTGAACTTTCCAAACTGAACATGACAGGAATTAAATTTGGGGAGTTTTTGTTTGTGAAATATATACTTGGCTACTGAGCTTTAGCTCTCAGGCTTTCCAGCACAGGGAAAGCACGGTAAAGCACAGATCTGAAAGGAAAGGTATGTGATTCCACACATCTTAGCACGTCAGAGCACCAATCTCCTGCTGACCACCCTCACCTTACCCAAGACATCCCACACCAGCCTTACCTTACAGAGCACCAGTGCTTAAAAACTAAGCCAAGCTCGTTATCGTGGCTTAACTCCAGAGAGATGTGAAGCATAAGGAGACTGCATGCCAAGGGTGACCCACATAGCAGGCGTGCCAGCTGTGTTGGACTGTGGGATCCCAGGCGTGGCTTGTGCCAGCGCCAAGCGGGGCAGAGGTGGGTGGTGGACAGTGAAGGAGGGGCGGGAAGTTTTGTGCTGAAGAGAAGCTAGTTTAATAGACAAAGCGGAGTTAGCAGTGGAAGATGGCGGCAAGAAAGCCTCTGAAACTGGCAGAGATGACAAACTCTGTAGGAGGACAGGTTCAGAGTTAGAAGTGAGGAGGGGAGGAGGTGGTGGTAATGAAACATTAGGAGGAGGTGGAGTCCGAAGGGAGGCACGTGCTGGGACTCGGTTGAGGTGCTGGGCATCGTTAGATGGCACTGGGTTGGGGGACGCATGGAATGATGGAGAGCTGGCCGCAACCTGCAGAGGATTTAAGCTTAAGACGGTGCAGCTGGAAACTGCACCATTGCCAAAATGGAGAGAGGAAGTGGAGGATGAAAAAGAGGAAGTGGAGGGAGAGGGAGCGGAGGAGGAAGAGGAGGAGGCAGAAGGCACCACATGGTTAAAAATACCTGCAAACAGGAGAGAAAAAAACCCTCAGCAGATGGACTTTATACAGGTCACAGCAAGAGAAGCAAAACAAAAGCAGGCAAGCAAGCAATATGCAGCATGAAAACAGCAGCAGGCGATGGGCAGTGGTGGTAAAAAAAACCTAGGCAGAAGAGAGACACACTTACCTCTTCCTGTCTCACATTCTAGAAGCACCAAGGGGAACTCCGTGGCTGAACTCAAGACCCCAAAAGCAACCCCCATTCTAGATCAACACGTTGACCCTAATTAGTCAGAATCATTTGAAAAGCTACCACTCTTTCTAAGCCCACTCTCAAGATAACTGCAGGCATACTTGGGGAAAAAAAAGAGTGAATTCCTGAGATTCTTAGGTGCCTGAGTTTACAGAAAAGCCTAAAAATATAATGCTGTGGAGTGTTCCAAGTCTCTCCTTATCCTAGCTCGCAGAAGTTGTCACAGAATTGATTAGAAGATGCTCCAGGAACTCAGCTATGCAGATGTTCTGTGACAGGGATTCACAGGCTCCTCAGGAGATAAACCCAGGTGGGAAAAGACTTCCAGAAGGGAGAATGCTTGAAAATATCTGCCATCAGGCTTGGGGGTGGGGGTGGGTATGAAATACCAGTAATGTTCCTCCCAGTCATTGGTGTGTCACGGAACAAATAAGGTTCAGCTTACCTCCAACTGTTCCACCTGTCATCCCAGGAGAGAAGTTTCCCATGGTGTGTGAGTTGGTCAGGCGGGTGGCAGCTGATGATACATGCGCTAGGCCGGCAGCTGGCATTGAATTAAATAAGGACTGCAGTACCGAGGAGTTTGTTACCATGGGACCAAGGGGGAACTGCGTGCCAGTGGTTAAGGAGTTCAAGAAAGGGTGGTGGGTCTGAGTAGAGGATGCCGTGCTGGATGACTTGCCAGAGCTGGCTGCAGAGAGGCTTTTGCCATTAAGAAGGCCACCAGAGGGGACAGCAGCAGCAGCAGCAGCAGCAGCAGCAGCAGCAATGAACAGGTTGTGGCCGTTCTTGAACTCTACATCCCGCTCTCGCCCTTTGCTAATTTTGTTGTTTAGCACCGAGGCCTTGTCTGAAGAGCCTCCCAGGCGGACACTCAGTTCGTTGGCCTCTTTGCCTTTGAGCCCTGACCAGTTCAAGTCTTCCCCTTTCCCACCACCAAGGCTTTCCAGCTGCCTCTTGCTCAAGAATGGATTTGTCTCAGGGACTCCGGCCTCTTTGTTCCGCTGCACCAGGAACCCCACAGAGGAGCCCCCCAGAGCCGTCACGACATCAGCAGTTTTATGAGAAAGTGAAGCACCATCAGTAAAGCTATGTAAACCGACATCTGCCGATAGCCCTCCATTGTAAGCAAATCCATTCATGGCGCTGGTACTCTGGCCAAGCCCATCAGATGCAGTCATGTGTTTCCTCGCATGTGGGCCAGTCTTGTCACCAACCAGGTTGTCATCAGAAGAGGGTCGGAAGGCAAAGAGGGTGTTCTGGTTCAGGGATGATGCCGACGCTTGCAAAGGACTGTCTGCCGTTTTGGAAAGGTTGATGTCAGAAATTGGAGAAAAGGTTGACTTCCACTTGCTGCTGTTCATGCTTTCAGTAGCTTGCTTCCTCCCAGCTGAGTTGATGCCTGGTTTGCAAAAACAGAAAGCTGTAGGCATCAGTTCAGGAGAATGTGTTTACCTTTTTGGCCAAGTAACAAAATTAAGTGAGGAACCAGTTTTTAAACAGAGTTTATTTTCTCTGTCCCAAGGAGTAAATGCATTTGGTAACCAGACTATCTGCCAGAATTCAGCAACTAGGAACTGCCATACACAGGCTACTAAACTCTCTACTGTACAAGTACCCAAGACGGAAGGAGAGTGATTTCTGCATTGGATCAAAATCCATTTAATCCAGCACTATGGCTTCTAAAAAGTTAACCCGATTCACTTAGCAAGAGGTACACTGCTCTGAACAGAGTACGAGCTATCTGAACCCAGCCATGAACTCAGTAATTAAAATCACTAGGGCCAGTAGCCATTGTCACACCTTTTATAGCCAATCCAGTATGTGTTGTTTGAAATAGTATTTCCATTACTACCCTAATCCTAGATGCTCACCTATTTTTTTATATGCTTCACAGTGATTTCACACATTTTGGTTTCAGTGACAGTAATTGGACAGTGATACTTCAGGTGAATTGTGTAATGGTGATAAAAGCCTTGCAGTTCTTTTTAGTTTATTATTTTTGTACACAAACCCTGCATCTATCCTAAATCTACAGCAACAGAGCAAAACAAAAAGCACAGCCATCAGCGGCTCTACCAAGAGACCAACTTCCCTACCAGATTCAAGCTGAAGGAGAAATGGGAAGCTGGGCCCCCGGTGAGGCCTATCATTTGTGGCTCCTTCCTTCCGTAAACCATTTCAGTTCCAGAGAGGCTTTATAAGAAGAACTGGATAACCACAAGTGACTGAGTTTGTTTCTATTCTTGTCCTGATCAATCCCTTTTGCCTCATCAGATGCACACCTACTGGCTTCCAAACTTACTGTTTTCCAGCGGCTTTTGTGGAGATTTGCTTTCCAGTGATATTGTTGCAATTTTCCTCTCAATTCTAGGAAGGAAAAAGGAAAAAGAGGATTATTTGATTCATGTACAGACACATTAGAAAGTGCAGTCTCAGTCACAAGTCATGGGTCCTCCAGCAGGATAATGACCCAAAACATACATCTAAGAGAACCCAAGAATGGTTGAAAAGAAACATGGGACAGTTGAAGTGGCCTCCTATGAGTCCTGATCTGAATCCAACAGAACATCTATGAAAAGAGCTGAAACTAACAGTTGGGAGAAGAAACCCATCAAACTTAAGACAGCTGGAGTTAGGCAGCTAATAAATTTAAAAACAAACAAACAAACAAACAATTGGAGCTACAGAAAATTCTTGATTGCAGTTATTGCCTCAAAATGGTGTGCTACAAAATATTAGGTTGGGCTAGCAATAATTATAGGTAGTCCTCAGGTTACAATGGTAATTGGGACCAAAATTTTGGTTGCTAAGCAATGTGGTTGTAAAGTGCGATGTCATATGACTGCATTGCTTAGCAATGGCAATCCCAGCAGTCCTTGCTGCCATTGTTAAGCGAGGATCACAGGTTGTTAAGTGAGGACCTCACGTGACCATGACTTGTGACTTCCTACCAGCTTCCAACAAGCAAAGTCAAGAGGGAAGCCAGCAGGAAGTTGCAAGTTCCAGTCACAACAAGCCTTTCCTTAGGCACCTCGCAAGCAGGCTAGCGGTGGGTGAGTGCTATGGCTGGGCGGGAGTGTGAGTGGGCAGGCTGGGGGTGGGTGCTGCTATGCAGCGTGAACGCAAGCAGGCAGGTGTTACAGCACAGTGCAAGTGTGGACAGGTGGAGGGTGGATGCCCAGGGCCTGCACTCACCCTGCCGCCTGGGAGAAAAAGTGGCAGGAGTGGGAGTGACTTACTGAAGCGAGTTGCAACTTCCTGCCGGCTTCCCCGTTGACTTTGCTTGATGGAAACCAGCAGGGAAAGTCACAAATGGCAATCATGTGACTGTGGGACATTGCAACTCTTGTAAGTGTGAGCCAGTTGCCAAGCACCCAAATCATGATCACGTGACCGCTGGGATGCTGCAACAGCTGCAATTTCAAGAACTTGTCATAAGTCCCCCTTATTCAGCGCCGTCATAACTTTGAATGGTTGCTGAACAACTGGTTGTAACCCAAGGCCTACCTCTACATCCATGACATTTTCATTTCTTTTATTATTAACATGAATATGTGAAGTCATACATCAAAAGCAAAATGCTATGGACTATGGAATAAAGACTGGTGGATGCCTTTTACTTGTGTCACTTTCAACTTATTTCACAGCAAATTGGGATTCTTTGAGAAAAAGCAGAGAAGTACCAATACTTTTGGCCACGTCCGTATGCTTTAATTTGTAACATTAATTTCAAGACAGCTGCAAAAATTTATACCATGAAATGGTAACCCCTCCCAAAAAAACACCCTTAAATGAGACAGACTTAAGGCAGAGTGTCTCTAATACACAGCCTGCTGAGGTTTTGTGTGCAGCCCCCAATGGCTCACTAACAAAAATTAAGGTGCTACCAGAGCTCAAATCCTGCTGGGCAGCTCTGCAGGCCCCTGTTCTCCACTGCCATCCTGCCTTGCTGCCTTTTTACCTTGTCCCTCTTTCCTGCTCCCCTCCAGTCTTGGAGCTTTGTTGAGAGACTGAGACTAAGTCTCATGCGTCGGTGTGATTGCTGCTGTGCTGGTATATGATGGCTGCTGTGCGGCCACACAGGCACACAGCTGGGAAGGAACATTGCCGGTGATATTGCTGCGTGTCTGAGTTTGTGTGTGCTAGTCAGCACAAGGGGAATGCATAGAACAACACAACAGCTGAAGTGTGCTATAACAGACAGGTGGGGGGGTTGCAGCCATGGTGATAAAATATTTTACTGTTTTACAGTGGACAATGTATTGTATGCTTTTATTAATCATCAGGTCATCCTTTATACAGTATGTTCAAGTGGTCTCAATCACAGTTTCATTCTTTCCTAACCAGCATGAATAGAGAATATGGAGTGTTACTGTATCAAGCCCAACATTAACATTCTGGTCTCTGCAAAATGCTGTCAATGAAGCAGCCAGAATGAAGATTTTCAGAAATAAACACACATGATGTTGAGCAAGTTAAGTAATATTGCCCAACTTGTTTCAAATAAAAATTGCACTTGCAATTCATTTTTAATAATATATCATTTTATTTACTTAGGAATTAATATTGTATTAATACTGAATGTTTAATATTTGTTGCATTTTTGCATGTGTTTGAATGTGGCCCACCAATTAGTGCATTTTAGGTAATGCAGCCCCCATAATCATTTGAGTTTGAGATCCCTGGACTACGGATTAATTTATAGTTTTAGAATGCAAAACAAAACACTACATTCATCAGTCCTCTGTGTTGTAAAGCCAGGGAGTTTTACCTAAGCCCTTTTTGCTCTTTAGGAATTTCATTTAACACACTGCTGTTATGGCTTCTAATAAAATAATATGTCCTTTTCTCACCTTACTGAGAGAAAATCAGACAATCATTAAGGAATGATAATAAGTTAGATATTATAAAGGCCATTAAATGCTGAAAACTTAGCCAGCTGCTACAGGGCTTTGCAAACACCACCAGGGCGTGATTTCAATAAGGGGAGATGAAGGGAGAGGTAACACTTCCAAAAGTCACATCAAAAGTGGAATTAACAAAATAATGCAAATGCACAGTATGTATTACATAGTAAAGAAACCTGAAACACAGTTTCAAAATTAAGCATGAGTTTAATGTTGGGGAAGGAAAGGCTCTGGGATTTGAGGTCATATTGACTGATTGATTGATTGACTGATTGTATTTATATAGCTACCCATCTCACATAAAATGACTGGGTGGCATACAACATGTTGCTTGAAGTAGCCCCTCATGCAAGGACTGCACCTGGTTCTGCTCACCTCGTGCTGTTATGGTCGTCCTCCAGGCTCTGTTCTTCATCAGAAGTTAGTGGGGAGTAATGGATGCCATTGGTCTGAATTAGAGGCTTCTCCTTTTTCAGCACTGGCGGCTGATCATTGTCCTGGTATGGAACAGGAGAATTCTTCAGGGAGTTTTCAGGAGAAGAAATGGCTGTTATTTCTAAAGGCTGGTTAATATTACTGACCTGAGGAGGGAAGACAAAAAGAGAATATTAAGAATTGAAAAAAGATAAGAGGAGAAAGCTAATTATGTTTCTAAGAATTTTGCATTTAAAGACAGTGTTGGCCAGCTTTGGGGAAGAGAAAGGAAATACATTACTTTTCAAGCAGGAAGTTATTATATTGGCTATAAAACATTTACTGTATATGTGTAGTGCTATTAAGTAGTAACAGATTCACACTGATGGGGTCCAGGGACTCAAAGATACAAAACTCCCCAAATTTGCATTTGAAAGCATTTAGAAAAATGCACAGAAAAACAGGAATAGAGGTTTACCAACAATTATTTTAGCATGACAGTAACGGTAAACTGTTTTTCAACCTTGGCAACTTTAAGATGTGTGGACTTCAATTCCCAGAATTCCCCAGCCAGTGTGGGGCAAATGATGAAACAAGCGTTGCCAAGCAAGATCCACACCTTTTGTATGTGCATCATGTCACCTACATTTACTTAAGGGCCAGAGTGTCACAACACTCATTTTATCATTCTAACAAACCACCAGATTCTGCACATTGCTTCCTGCAGCTCCCCAAAAGTTTAAGAAGATGAAATGCAGCCCCCAATCCTTGAAATGTTGCTCACCCCCTCCTTTCTGGACATGTTTTCCCTTTCTAGAATGAGAAGTGTCAAATCCCTTTTCCAACCATGCATCCATAACAAGCATTCAGGCCTAAATAAAAATTATTTCAGGAGCTACCTGCTGGCTGGCCCAGCTTTAATTCACTGACTTCATGCTTCTGTCAAATAATTTGCTGCTAATCAGTCTCTCCCCTACCCCTACAAAAACTTTCCTTGGATTGCAACCTGCAACAGCTTAAAATGGGCTTCCTAGGATGAGTTAGTTATCCAAACTTTAGGTCAGAAATGGGGAACTTGTACCATAGGAGCCAAACTCAGCCGAGAAAGCCTTCCTACTTAGATCACAAAGCCTCAAGGAAGATCCCAACTCCTCACGTCTCTCCCTGTACACTATTCCTTGCCTTCTCCTGCACATACAGAAAAGCAACTTAATTTCATTCGCAGTTAGGATGGCAGAAATCAATGCATGGGATTATAACAAGTACTAAGGAGATTGTTCAAAACAAGGCCATAAGATCCCTAAGACTTTCCCATCTTTTTATAGCTCTCTGATTAAAAGATTCCCAAAGGAAACTATACAATTATCTCTGGCGCATGATAAACAGCGTGCATGCCATTTATCCAGCTGTTCAAAGAATTTCCAGAAGATCACTAGTCCATGAAAAATTTTACTGGCCATCATTCAGGAAACAGTTTCTAATTATATTGGAAGCTGCCTTAAGCCAAGTTGACTATATATTTAATCAACCTCAGCATCATTTCCCATGACAAACACTCTTCTGGGCCTGAAGCAGGTTTGAACTCTTTAAGGGCTTATGGATTCAGCTTATGCAACTTTGAATATTGTTGTCTTTAATTATGTTTTCATATCATTTTGTAATCATTGCTCAAATAAAGAAGTGGACTGACTGGTACTAGGGTTTAACCTGGGATCTTCTATTAACAAAACAGTCTGTCAATGACCTACCATCCATCTCCAGATTAATTTTTTACCCTTGGTCATCTGTTAAGGCCTCCCACTTATTCTAGGCAGGCAACAGACAAAATGATCAGGTCTTAAAACTGTAGAGCTCAAACCTTGATTCTCACCATGGAGCTGATATTAAGGGGAGATCCAGAAGGCTGAGCAAAGAGCCCAGCCATTGGGGGCAATGATTTGCGTTTTGGTGACACCCCGGAGTTCACACTGGGTGTTCCTGTGGAGGATCGCTTCCTCCGGCCACGCTTCTTCCCATCTTGCATGTATGCCTGACCACAATCTGCCCGCATACTTGCTGCAAGGGGGCTGTGCTTGTTTGATGGAGAATGTTTGAGGGTTCCCGTGGCAGGGGAGATGGTGAAGATAATCCTTCGTTTGCCCTCACTCTCAGGATCAGAAAAGACAGGGTCGGATGGGACATCTCCTCTGGTGTTTTCAGCAAACATTTTTTGAGTCTCTATGTACTGCAGTACCCCTCCCAAGCTCTGGGAGATTCCATTCAACCTGGGGCTTGCAGAATGCTGGTGTGCAGGTGAGTTTTGCCCAGAATTCCGTGAAGATGACGTAAGCAAAGAGGGATGCTGTGGAGTAGAGCTTCGAGATCCTGTTGAGTTGAACAAGCTTCCTGAACTGGATACCTCCTCCATAGCTGCATGGTCAGCAGCCTGATTCAATGGGCCAGGGCTATTTGGAACAGTCCCACTGACTGACACAGAGCCAGACATGTAAGAAAAACCTGTATAACGAGGAGTGAAGAAAATTAGATATCAGGAGTATCAATTAATTGGTTTAGCCACTCTTCACATATGCTGCTCTGTAAACTAAGATCTTCAAGAGAGGTTCTTCATAGATATTCCTGCCATTAGAGGTGGGATCCTGGAGCTTTCTTCATGTTATTTTACCCTGAATATGAAACATTCTCTCCAAAGTGGATCGTCTGATGCCTACCCTTGTCACTTGGTCCTTCCTTCCTTCCCCCAGCTTTTCAAAACACAGACTCAGAGTTGAAAGAGACTATCAAGTCCAGTCTTTTGGTCAGTGCAAGAATCCAATTTAAAATACCCCCAACAAATAGTTATCTAGCCTCCATTTGAAGACATCCAGTGAAGAGAAGCCCACTACCTCGCTGGGTAATTGTTTTTCACTGTCAAGTTGTTCTTTTCATTAGACAAAACCTAACATTCAATTGGAATCTGCCTTCCTGCAATTTAAATTCAATATCCCAAGTCCTGTATTCTGGAACAAGAGATAATAGACCTTGCCTTTCTTCAGTGTCACAGTCTGTCCTAACTTCTCTTAAAGGAACAGGTTCAAAATAAGACAATAACCGGGGCTAAAAAACAAATCTTATCAAGAAAGTATGGAAGGAAATGGAAATGCTTAGCCTTGAGAAGACTGAGCAGCATAGGACAGCATTTTCCAAGAACTTCTGTGTGAACGGATGTTACGCTGAAGAATGGCAATTAGCTTCTTATCAATTTATCTCTGGAACCAATTACCCAGACTGGAGGTGGATTAATCTTCACTAGCTATATTCAAGTGGAAGCTTTCATTTGAATTCCTGTACTGAGAAAAAGACTCAACAGCCCCCCACCCCACCCTAAACTCTATGACTCTGGGATACAGTTGCCCCACTTTATTAACAGAGCTATACAGATACTTCAAGTCAAACCAAGAGACATTGGTTAGCCTGGTGGGAACATAAATATTGGATTTCAGCTCCCATCTTTAATAATTTATTCCTCAATCAATCAATGAACAAGTATAATGTTTTTGATTCATTTATTTAATTGGGTTCTCTTTATCTAGTTTTAGGACTTGTGTGGAAAACAGATCACATTTTAGT